CCTAAAATTTCTTCCTAGCCTCTTCTTCAAAGATTCAAGCTACAACCACCAAGAATATAGATTGGAAAGGGAAGTCTTATTACCTGCTCAAGCGAGACGAAGAGGCGATTTGATGAGCACCGGTTGAAGCAGGTTGAAGAGCAGAGAGTAGGAGAGAACAGCGGGGAAAGCGACGAGAGCTGTGGGGAGTTGGAGGAGACCGACGAGAGCTGTGAGGAGTTGGAGGAGACCGGCGAGAGCAGCGGGGAAAGCGACGAGAGCTGGGGAGATGGTGGAGACGGGCGACAGATTGGAAGGTTTGTGGCGAGAAGTTCATAGCAGCGTGGAGAAGAGGAGCCCGGATTGGATTTCAAAATCCAGCCCATTTTCTATGGATTTCAAAATCCATTGTTTAGGGGATTTTAAAAAGTAGACGGGATTCCAAATCCAGCCCATTTAGCAAACCAAACAAGGGATGGAATGGATTTCAAATCCAAATCCCTCCAAATCCCTCAAACCAAACGCGCCCTTAGTGTATTCGGTTGACCCGTTTAAATATTCTAAAGTATATTTGATCGACCAAATTCTTTATAACAAAAACGTATTTTTTTAGTGTTTTTGATTGACTCATTATAATAAATAACGTATTTGTTTGACCAAATTGTTCAAAAAATATTTTTCATATGTTAAAAATCAATTTTACAAAAATAAAAATAATTAAGTGGGACCGATCTGGGCTGCAGGCACAGGACCGGGACCGGTTCTCATAATCGGGCCTCATACAACTTAACCGAGCCTTCCCTTTTTGACCGAGACCGGTTACGCCCGGACCAGTCCGGATTGTCATTGTTTCGGTTGAGAACCGGTTTTTGGTCATGTCTAATTCGATATTGATAGGTTTCATTCGTTGTTAATAGCTATATTGGGCCTTAATGGTTTTAATGACCATCAATGAACTGAATTGGGCTTTAACGGTATTTGTTAGCATGTTTCTATTATGTGATGTATATCATATATAACTAGGTTTGTAACTAGTTCGTAACAGATCTATACAAAATCGGCTACATATTAGTTACATATTCTATCAAGAGTTTGTTTTATTTTTCTTAAATATCAAATACAATTAGATCTGTGGTTAATCCATAACAAATCTTTTTGTTTAATCTATATATCAATTAAAGGAAGAACCAAAAGTATTGAGGTGGCATCATAAAAATTGAGTATTGAGGTGTTGGTGAATTGTGGTTGAGTTTGAGATATCCCATATTGGTGAAGAATTTAAAATTTTGAACAAATCTAGATATCTATTAAAGGAAGAACCAAGAGTATTGAGGTGACATCATAAGAATTGAGTATTGAGGTGTTGGTGAATTGTGGTTGAGTTTTAGATATCCAATATTGGTGAAGAATTGAAAATTTTGAACAAAATGAAGTGTATAAGAAAGGTGTATTGGATGTCTTTGTGTCAAATATGAGGTTTGCCTCATAAGGTTGTCTTTATTTGGATGACCCTTTTGAAATCTATAATCATGGTTGAAAACCAACCAAACCAAATGGTAGAAATTATAGTGCAAACTTAATTATATTATATATATATATATATATATATATATATAACCTTGGGGTAATGAGGTGACACCATGAAGATTATAAAATTTAAAACCTTGTGGTGATGAGGTGGCATATAGATTGGTGCATTTGTGTCGATTCATGGAGTTTGCCACATAAGATATATATATATATATATATATATATATATAGAGGAGTGATCATATGAAAACCGCCATCATTTGTGTAAACCGTGCAAACCACCTTCATCTGTCGATTTCATTGTTTAATTTTATGAAATTTTTTTCATGAAATTGTTTAATCTTGTGAAATTGTTTCATATAATATTTTTT